GTTGTCGTCTGGTCGTCATAATGAAGTCAATCTCATTTTTTGTCGAACCGTCGGGGCTCGACCAGGTCCACTTCCTGTGGGGCCGCTTCTGGAAGAAAGAGTTCATCATAAAGAGTCCCTCTTTCTCCATGAAGTCGGCCAACTGCTGGCCCCTTGGGTTCCGTTGCCCTATTCCAAATTTCCCCACTTTCACCTCACCGTTCTCTCTTGTGCCTAGTTTTGCATTGAAGTCTCCCATTAACACCGTATATTGGGTTTTGGAGGAATGCATGGCTCTAGAGATATCCTCATACATTTCCTCCACCTCCTGATCGGGGTGTGCCGAGGTTGGTGCGTAAACCTGTATGACCTTCAGCGAATACCGTTTGGTGATTCTGAGTATAAGGTACGCAACCCTCGTCGACACACTCTCAATCTTTACAACGTTGTTAACGAGAGACTTGTGGACGATAAATCCGACACCTCCTTGGGACAGATGGTCGCCCTCCCGGTGATAGAGCAAGTTGCCGGATTCGAGGATTACCGTGTCCTCCCCCTCTCTTCGGACTTCGGATAATCCTATAATATGCCAGCGTAACTTGTCTATCTCTTCTTCCAGCTCCACAATCTTCTCGTCAGTCCTCAGGGTGCGTGCGTTGTATGTTGCCAGGTCGAGTCGTTGTAGGTGGCAACCGAACCTCCACCGGAGATTCTTAGCACCTCCTGCCCCGCCGTTACCATGGTCGCCACCGTAGCCAGGAATAGCGGGGCCGCCGGGGACTGGGGGCCGTCTCTTCGTAACTTTCATTATGGGGGGTATATTGCCATAGTTGCCACGCTTGGCGAGCGGGTTGGCAACCGCAGTTTTTTATTGTATTTTGTCGTTACCAGGAAGATGCTGCTGCCCATCTCCTGCCTGTTTCCCTTTGTCGCCTTTTACGACACCCACGGGAAGATATGGGGTAGTGGATATTCTTAACCGCCACTACACGGCAATTTTTATTTCACAATACCAGTAATGAAATAAAAAATATATAAGTAATATATATATACTAGTGATCCACCCCATCTTCGCACGATTAATTTCTGAATCTCGATAACAGCGCCACCTACCGAGTCCTAACATTTGGATCTAGGGAACCATCTAGGGAGCCATTCAAACACAAAATATTTAATAAGATTGCAAGAGCCATTTTTGAGTTTTAACGAGACTAATTGGCAGCAATTTGATTTTTATATATAGATGTATATATGTATATATTAGGGGCTAAGCGCTCGCTGTAAATTTCACAGTACGCGAGCAACCCCGGTTCGTTCCACGCCGGCATAAATTCGATCGTTAATTATAATTTTAGGAGCTGATTTACTACAGCGATGAAGGAAAACGTCGTGAGAAAAGTTGTAGTTCTGAGGAACTAAAAAAATATTGTTTCGAAGATGTAATGTAAACGATATGTAATGTCCATCAACTCGCATTAGGGCACTGTGGCGGACACTTCCTTTCCCTAAAAATCCTCTCTGATATGAGAGGACCCCTGTGTCCAGCAGTAGGATGTATAAGGCTCAGCGTCCACCAGGCTCGCCGAGCCGAGTCGAATCGAATCGCAGAAAGTCGCCCTCTATATATTTACTATGAAACTGCGTCCATTATCGACAAGCCGCAACGGGCCGAATTGAATCGACCGCGCGAATTGCTTTACAGGCGAATTTCTTCGCCGATACGATTCGATTCAATTCAGCGCGCCTCAATCGACGCGGAGAAGTGGATGCGCGCCAGCGTATTATAATTAATTTCTATTTCGTTTTCGTAAAAATCTTTTTGTTTAAATAAAAATGAATGAAGAACTATTGATATCACTGGTCCAACAATATCCAAAATTATGTAATCATGAAGATTCATTTTATTACGATGAAATAAAATCATCTGTTCATCCAAGCTGTCCATGATGCAAAAACGACCTATTTTGATGAAGAATTTGCGATGAATGAACAATTCGATTCGATCCGTCAGAGATGAACGCACTAGGAATAAATGCGACTTGCTTCGATTCGACGCATTTCTGCTGTAGTCGACGCCTGGCTTAATAGAGGCTGTAACTTTAATTTATATAAGTAATCTTAAAGAAGGACTTCCTATTTGCAATATTTCTATATATTAATCTTTTTTTTTAAGAATAAGGGTGACACGCGAGCACACAGTCCACCTGATGGTAAGTGGATACTGTAGCCTATAGACATCTACATCTATCCTCGATTAAGAATCAAAATACAAATGCGTTATCACCCCTGAGAACTAAATGCATCCTATCTAAGTAGAGTCTCCAGTTCTCGTAAATAGAGTATCTGGTTATCCACACTCACCATACGAAACACAGCAACATCAAGCTGCTATTTTACGCTGGTATTCTGTGAAAGCTTGATCCTACCCCGTTCGAGTCGACCCATTTGTGCTACAACCATAAATATAAGGTATGTAAGGGTAATATCACCTTAAACTTTGCCGCCCTATAAAACAAAAACTAGGCGGAGGTCAGAGACAAATACACAAAGTCGTATACTATAACTAATATATTAAGAAAAAATAACAAACAAACCTAGACAATAATTAGGAATACTTCAAAAAATCAACTTAAAAAAATTTTACTACACTACCCAATACTAAAATCGACTAAAATATTTACTCTAATATCAACTGTCAAAATGGCGTCGATAAAGCGGCGCCCTTTTGGCACTTCAATATTTGAATGACTGATGAAGAGCTACCGTATCACAGAGCCATCTATGCACATAAGGCTGTAGTTTTTAAGTTATAAGAAAGTGACCATAATAACCGGATGACCATATTACCCTCACGTACGTTATAGCTACAAAATGGCTCTACTACGTATATTTGGTAAAGCCATGCTGCATGCATTCTACGTATATTTTTAATATATATTATTGAATAGCGGCGTCTAGTAGCGGAATAAAAGAACCCACTACCCCATATCATTCTACAGGTATTGTAAGAGGTGACAGAGGGAAACTGAAACAGAAAATATGCAGCAACATTATATACGTGGTAGAGCCATGCTGCAGCTATATTAGTAGTATAGTTGTAGCACGAATAGGTCGGCTCGACCGGGGGAGGACCACGCTCTCACAGAATGCCAGCGTAAAATGGCAGCTTGACATCGCTGTGTTTCGTATGGTGAGTGTAGAGAACCGGAGACCCTTTTTACAGGAAAAGAGGGATTCCATCTTAGTCCTCACGGGTGACAACGCATCTACATTTTGATTCGCAAACGAGGATAGATGTAGATGTCTATGGGCCACAGCAACGACTTACCATCAGGTGGACTGTGTGCTCGTTTGTCACCCTATCCTATAAAAAAAAAACAATGTTTGTAAACTGCCTCCACAATACAGAAGAAAATCCTAGTGTAGGGCTAACGGTTTTTTTTAAATGAAGAAAATTAATAGAATGAAGAGGAAATATGCAGCAACATCTTCCTGATAACAACACAAATTAATAAAAAATTACGGTTGCCAATCCGTCTGCCGAGCGTGGTAGCAAATGCAAATATTCCTTCTGTAAGGTAGATTACTATGGGGACAGCTATAGTTCAGTATCAACACCGGACTTGCGGTAAGCTGTAATGAATAAATGAATAAAATATTTTTAAATACCCACCCACACACTTAGGGTGTTAACACACCAATCGATCGATCGTCGATCGATGGCATAAATCGATGGTAGAATGGATTAGTCGACGTCGATCGAGCTACTTGATTATTCGATAACCCGCCCCGCTCCACCGTCTCTCTATTGTCCTCTTCTGAATAAATTTTGAAAGATACTGGTGATGAGCCCACAACCAGTTTCAACTGAGACTAGCCCTCTGTGCAGGACAGGATTAAAATACACGGGTTTACTTTCTATTCTCTCACTCTCATAGTCCTATAACGGCAAACCGACACGACCGGAGAGAGAATAGGCGCACGGCCAACGGCCGTTATTCTTTCCGAGGCATGTGTGTGGGAACACAACCAAATGTTTGACTCCGGGCTGTTAAACAGAATTACTTTGAAAAAAAAATTACTAATTTTATCCCGACCCAGGATTCGCACCCGGATCAATATGATCAGTAGTCGCGCTTAGAAACGCTAGACAACGAGACAGTTAAATGTTTTTTATAAACTTTCTAAACCTCAATCAGCGGTATATCCATCTAAACAGCTACAAATGCAAAGGTTTTATTACTTTCAAACCCTCTAAATCATAATTCTTATTTTCACGGGACATATCTTGAGAGAACTGTGTATGTCTTGGAAATAAAAAAAAATGCTATAAATGTGAGGTCCACCAATGGGATGGTCTTCACATATATTGCGGCGGACACTTCCTTACCATAAATCCCTCTTAGAAATGAGAAGAGACTGTACCTTTTACTTTACCTGAATACTAAATATTGGTATATATAATACTCTACTTTTACTGCTGTCAGCTAGCCTACCAAGCGTAATAACTATACCTAAATGTACCTTATGAGGAAATATGGAAGAGACCTATGTTCAGTGGTGGTCTTTTAAAGTGCAAAAGGGAAATGTCCTATTGTCATAGTTTTTTTTTAATTTGTAATGGACTCGTACCGTGGTACTTTTGCCGGTGACAAGTAAAAGGAAATTATTATTTGTTTAAAAACTTTTTCGCAATACGTTGATGTGTCACATTGCGAAGTTTTGGGAGATTTTGACGGCAGCCTGAGCCAGCAGACAGTCGATGATGACAGTGTCTCATGACGCCTCAGCAGAAACATTATCTTGAGGTTCACATTACCGTCGAGCACATGTTACATCGTTTCCACTAGATTACATGCGCAGTCATTTAATACACAAAATCGCACCACTTTTACGTGTCAAAACTCACTTCATACGATAACACAGGAGCTGAAATCCACCAGCGGTAAAGTTCCCGCCAAAACTCCAATAAACCCATAATTATGAATTAATTATTATAATTAATATTTATAAAAACTTACTGTTTAAACTGTAGATAACGGCACTGCAGCCACGCAGAAAGAAAAACACTACATATAAAACTATCATTGACATTTCTGCGTTTAAGTTTTACTTAGTTACGTATTTAATTTTTTAACTACCAGAAAACGTTTTCATCGACGGCTTTTGGTATACTGACGTTGCACTGTCCGCTACGCACGGTCCACTTCGCCTTTGTAAAAGTAATTTTTATTTACTATGTTATTTTATCCTTATTACCGCCATTTATTATATATAGGGCAATTAAGACAATCTGCTAGGTTAACATTCTTTAGTGCATGATTTAAGTTTATTATAGTTTGTTTACTAGCTTGCTTATAAATACTTTAAGGAAAAATGCTTTAAATATATATTTTTTTACTTATTATAAGCCAGTGCTTGACCACAATCCCACCTGGTGGTAAGTGGTGATGGTAAATGGATGATATATATGGTAAATCGCACTGTCTTAGCGTAACAAAAGCCTATTCACTCTTGCCTTGAAGGCGCCCAGATTGAATTTGGAGAAAATTTAAATTGAAAAATTGAAGAAAAATTCACACACACATTCGTAGTTTTCTGTTTAAAATGGTGTTGAAGTAAAAAAAAGATATTTATAAATCAATTTTGAAAAAAATATTATTAATTTAAACTACGAAAGATATAAAAAAAAACTTTTTTTCATAGTTTTTTATATCTTTCATATTTTTTATATCTTTCATAGTTTACTAGCTATCCACCCCGGCTTCGCCTTGGTAAGACTTTTTTTTATAGAATGTAGGTGACAAACGAGCACACAGTCCACCTGATGGTAAGTGGTTGCTGTGGCCCATAGACATCTACATCTATCCACGTTTGCGAATCAAAATGCAAATGCGTTGTTACCCTTGAGGACTAAGATAGAATAAGATAATCAAAACCGTTTATTTCATCAATTTTACCTTCTTTTCAAAAAAAAAAATATCTCCAAGTTTTTCAGATAAAATATTGCCTAGATTCCTTCTGGTATTGCTCTTTATCTATTTGTGATTTTTTCACAATCGGCCATTCCGAAGAATAGCCCGGACTGACAGACAGGCAGACAATTCTTTAAAGTGGTTATTTATGTTTTAATGCCATGCAAATGACGCCTTCAGTTTTTTTCGAATATTAAAGACAAACACTTCAATTTTATTTATATGTGTAAATTTATATATAAGTGTAAATTTATTTAAACGTGGTAGAGCCATGCTGCAGCTATATTACTAGTATAGTTGTAGCACGAATGGGGTCGGCTCGACCAAGGAAGGACCACGCTCTCCCAGAATACCAGCGTAAAATAGCAGCATAACAATGCTGTGTTTCGTATGGTGAGTGTAGAGAACCGGAGACCCTTTTTACTGGAAAAGGGACATTCCATCTTAGTCCTCACGGGTGATAACGCATCTACATTTTGATTCGCAAACGAGGGTAGATGTAGATATCTATGGGCCACAGCAGCCACTTACCTTCAGGTGGACTGCGTGCTCGTTTGTCACCCTATCCTATAAAAAAATATAATCTTCAAAATCCATTTCTTTTATCAATTTTATAAATTCACAGAAATATGCCCCATGGTTTTCGAATAAAATAGAGTACAATCTATTTGTTTGTAAATTTCAATCACAATAGTCCAGCACTTCTGAATATTAGTCCGGACAGGCAGACAGACAGGCAAACATTTTCACGATTCTACTGCAGTCGTTTCATAACGATATGACGGCTATAATGCCGAACCTCCCATATTTTCGTGGCGCACGCATACCAACTGCACGAAAATAATTAGAAATAGCGCGCCAACCTAAACGCTTGTAGTCCATGCTTCCGGCCTTGTGCAATAAAAATTTCACGTCATGGACCAGGTGTCTCTGGACCAGATACTGACAATTAACTACACTGAGGATGAAGAAGGTGTTAGCAGACTCAGCCGTGACCAAAATCTATCACACGTCGCAGGGATGGACGCGGTAAGAAAAACCTGCAAGACATCATCAGACTGTTTAATGAAACCAACCCTGATAACCCGACCCTGATAAGCTGCCTCCTGTATCGTTCTATCACGTAAACGTGATCAGATTATTGAAAAACATCACCATGTTGAAAGCCGATGTCACCGACATCCGTTTCAAATTCGAAGAATCGGAACGAGCCGTAGCAGTGCTGAGGAAGGAAGTCACTATTTTGCGCAACATAAATGCAATATCTGCATATTCGCCGCCGTCGCAGAATGTAAATATGACACGCGATAGTCGTCATAGTACTCATAATATTTCACCGATGATTGCGACTCCGTCATCCGACACCGCCTGTCAGCGGGTTGATGACCGTGAAACTAGGGCGGCCTCGGTCCTCGTTGCATCGTTTGACCGAACCACGAATGCTCGACGCCGACGCCAACCTCACCACAAGGAAAGACTTCAGGACAGGCATTCTTTTGTGATCAAAATACGAAATCAGTTCCTGTGGTGATCCGAAACAAGATCGATAATGACGGGTTTACGAGCTCTTCTTGAGAAGAGACGTCAGTCGAGACTCATCTGTTACAAGCGTTGGAACTCAAAAATAACCGCAAGTACAACTTTGCGTGTTGTGTAGCCCCAGCTCTTTCTTCCTTTTCTTTTTTTTAAAAACGTTACCCCCACACTAGGATTTTTTCCTGTGTCATACAGTTTACAAACATAAATTGCACAAGGACAAACATCCAGACCCAGAACAATTATTTGTAGGCCATACAAATACTTGTTCCGTGCGGGATTCGAACCCGCAGCCCCCAGCGCAACAACTCGTTGCTAAGCCACTGCGCCACGGAGCCGTCGAAGCTCTACATCTCCCGTTTGAATAAAAGTACGTTGGGTGGAGAGATTCTGCATTTTGTGGAAGAACAAAGCCGATGTCGTATAGAGGATCCGATCTCTGCACATTTGGAAAGTCTGGAGTCTAATAGGTCTATTCTATTCTATTACAACCTATCAAACTGCCTACGGTCGATCTTTATCGGGATACCGATGTTTTGTGTGTACGCCAGTTATATATTCTATCCGCAGTATTAAAAACACACGGTCAAGTAACTTAGTCGCCTAATTACGACCACTTAATCACTAAACGTCATATTTAAAATCCCAATTCCAGCTGTCAAATCTGTTTTTGCGCAACGCCTCCCGCTGTTTTCACATGGCCATATCTATAACAAAATACTTAAAGTCTGCGACATCAAACATTGCACTACATCAAAAGCTAAAGCTAAACGAATAGTAAAAACGTATCTCACCACACTAAACTATAATGACACTGAAAACTTAATATTTTGTTTTCTTTCTTTATTTTTTAAAAACGTTACCCCCACACTAAGATTTTCTTCTGTATCGTGGGGGCAGTTTACATACATAAATTTCACAAGGACAAACATCCAGACCCGGAACAATTATTTGTAGGCCATACAAATACTTGGTCCGTACGGGATTCGAACCTGCGGCCCTTGGCGCTGCAACTCATTGCTAAGCCACTGCACCACGGAGCCATATTAAATCATAAATAATATAAAATCATATACAATCTCTATGTTTTACAAAAAAGTATCAATATTTTATAAAGAAAAAATAAACAAATAATAATGTAAGGGACACAAAGTTAAAAAAACTATCTTTTTAATTAAAGAAATAATTTGTTTTTTGGAAAAAATTTCTGGTTTTAACCACGTAATTAAAACTGATAACCGTACTCCTGGTACCCAAGATACAGGCTATGCCTAGTTTGGAGTCCGCCAGTTAATTTTTAATATGTAATAAGAATTAAAAATAATTTAATTTAATATAAGTTACTGTTTTTGTGTTTAGCTCTGTAACTCTATTTTTTAGAAATAAATGATTTTTATTTTATTTTTATTTTAAAAGCCCATTGGTGAACATAGTCTCCTCCATAGATTGCCTCATAGGGGGATTTTGTCATAGTTGCCACCGCAGCTTTTTATGTTTATTCAGCTGTTATCAGGAAATCGATTCCACAAGGAAGTCGTGCGAGAAAGAAAACATCTTCTAAATCGCACAGTGGTGGACCGCCAATCATCCAGATGGTGTGGATGGTATCGGGAGTTCTGCCGCGATGTGCGTTCGTGAAATTTGGCGGCTGGGATTAATCCGAACAATTCCTCAGAGCACTCCCCATGGTAGATGGGAAAGAAAATGCAAAGGGATGCAACATCTCTTCGCAGTGCCAATGAATCGAGCCGATCGGAAAGGGCTCGGTCGTCGACGATTCGAGCCGCTCTGCGCTGAATGCGGTCAAGTGGAAGGAGCTGGAACTGGGGAGCCTCTGCCCAGAGATGGGAACAGTATTCCATGTGAGGCCGAACCTGCGCCTTGTAAAGTTGCAGGCGGTGTACCGGCATGAAATACTGTCCCGCTCTGCTGAGCACGCCAAGCTTTTTAGAGGCCAATTTGGCCTTTTCTTCCAAGTGACCACGAAACTGCACGTCACTCGATATGTCGACTCCGAGGATACCGATACTGGCTGAGGCAAGAAGGGGAGTGCCTTGAAACTGAGGAGATACGACAAAGGGGTTCTTTTTAGCGGTAAACGCGCAAACTTGTGTCTTCTGAGGATTAAGCTGGACTAGATTTAGTCGCCCCCAATCCGAGACTTTGTTCAGTAAAGACTCGACTTCAGACACAAGTTTGTTCCGGTACTCAGCGACGTTTTCCCGAGAAATATTGGCACGGCCGGTGTATAGCGCATCAAGAGTGCTGTCATCCGCATAGCAATGAATGTTACCAGTTAGCAACATATCATTGATATGCAGAAGAAACAGCGTTAAGCAATATGGACCAATGAATATGATTGGTGGGTTTAGATGCGAGCGAGCTAAGGTGTGGTGGTAGCGGAGCGCGCGCGCCACTGCCCGCTACTTCTTGCGTCCTCCCTTATCACACATCCCTCGCAACACATTCTTCGCACACATCTTTCCCTTGTTTTGTATATACAAAAACCTCGCTTCGCTGAGCCGTTTCCACCAGAGCTGCGCTGAGCAAGGCTAGGTAAATGAAGTGATTCTGTTTGTTCTT